ATCTTTCCTCTGTAAAAAATAAATAATGAGCTACAACTGGGAGCATTCTCCCAGTGACCTCTTTTATCTGGACAAGTTCAAAGAGCCAGAGGAAGTAATAACAGCAAATAACGACAAAAACACAACTCCTAACAGTCAGGAAGAGATTGACAACTTTGTTGCAGACCAGAAAGGTAAAAACACGATTAGGAAAACCAAGTCGGACATGAACATACTTCACAAATATCTAAAAAGCATTGGTAAAGACACAGGAGAGATTGAGAACGTATCCAGCGGACGACCTCAATCATCTGATCAGCAATTTCTCAATGTCACGATTTGACAGTTTGGTTGCATGTGTTTTTGCTAGAGGAAACAGATCGATATTTGCACAAATTAAAAACAGTCATCTAATAAAAAATGTATTAACCTCGCTTGCTCGGTCTGTACAGAGAAATAACCGTGGTCTGATATTTCTCTGTACAGACGCATCTATTTTCAATAAGAGTAAAAAAATCCACAGCAGCCATTAAAATCATAAAGACAAGTTTACAATGACATCCATTTATTTAAATGTAAAATTATTGCATGAAAATGTGCTGCTTCAATGTAAACATTATTTTTTATGTTCTATTTTTATGACAAAATTATTTATCATTTTTCTTTAACTTTTCAGTTGTCTGTTACTTTGTTAAGGTCATTCAGTGAAACAAAAAAAACTACATCATTAGGTTGTTTGTGGTTGTATAATATATAAAGTTCATTAAAATAAATTAGATAAATAAAATAAGTACAATCATTTAAACTGTTTGGTAAAGTTTATGACCCCATCCTTTTCGCACCTGTTACTTGTTGCTGCTTGTCTTTGGATTGTGCGTCCAGTTCTTCGTCTGGATGGGGGTGTTCTGCAGATTATCTAGATAATTTATTTATTCAGTTACATTTGTTTCTTTATTGACACAAAACAACCCTAGTCATTTCCTCAACAACAGATCATAAACACAAACAGTTTGAACACAGAAAAAGGCAATAACGACAAAGGGAGTGGGACGACCACTGTCCATAAATGTTGATAAATGTGTTAACAAATATACATAATTTATTTATGGAGTTGAGTGTTTATTAATTTTGAGTTCAATGTACATCAAATATTATTATCAAATATCAGTTAATAGAATTTTCTAAAATATCCTCATTTACAATCACTTAATTGATATTACAATATTGTACATGATTAGACTCGAAAAGGAAAGAAAAACATGTACAACATACATTTTGTACTGAACAAATTATTTCAGATTCTAAAACATAAAATCCTGATGTAAATATTCTCAGAACTTTGCAATTACACCTTAGTACCTTGTGTGATTTTGGTGTTAAATAACTTAAGTAAGTAATCTTTATTTATACAGAGCCTTTCACAGATCAGAGTCATGAAGCGCTTTACCTTTGGAGTGGGCATTTGTCTCTCACTCCACACAGAGCGGGGTCCCCAGTACAGAAGGCAGATGTCATGACACGGGGAGAACATGCAAACTCCACTGTGAAGCTTCTTGTGTTGCCCTGTATAGCGCTCTATAGATTCAGATTTATTGATTGATACACGGAACACAAATAAGGCACATTAATATTGTTTAGTGTGTTTATGTCTTTATTACGAGAAAGTATCCGTTCGTTCTGTTCTTCCTCACTGTGGGGTCCAGAGGGATATCATAGTCAGACCTGGTTGGATTCTCCTCAGCCAAATGACAGGCCTGAGCTGTTTGTGTAATCTGAGCTGGGATTTAATCCAGTTTGACAGATCAGACGCACGTGCAGCGGACACACAGCTGGAGAGGAGTCATGTGACTGACCGCCTCCACATGTGAGAGAGGTCAGGACCCGTGTGAGAAACTAGCTCCGTATAAAGCACGGGTTTAAACGGTAAGGAGCGTACGTATATATTAGGGCTGGGACTCGATAAAAAAAAAATATATATATAATTAATTAGAGGCTTTGTGATTAATTAATCGCATTTGTATCGCATATAAATATTTGTCCTGAGAACAGTAATAAGTAATTTTTTTCACATGGATTTTTAGTTTACCATTGAATAATGACTGAATACATAAGCTTAAGCAACACATGTTCATTGAGGATGATAAGGGGAGCAGACAGACTTCTTTCCATAAAATAACTTATCTGTTATCGCCTCCACACACTCTGTCAACAAGATACGCTTTGTATAACCAAAATCCACTGCACTGAATATATTTCGAATATTAAAAAAAATATATATATATTCGAACAAATATTAGACGGCCCTTAATTTTCGAAATGAATTGAATGACTGCAAATAAAATAAATAGCTCCCAAAGGTTTCGCTGTGATGTGGCTAGGCCATGAATCTATTGTGCTCATAAACTGTATTATTGTGCTAGGCGGATAACAGCTAAGCTAGCTAGTTCAAGAACTCTCTGGAACTACATGAAAACTGAACAAAGAATTCTGACCATCAGCGGCGAGTTACCCATTTATATACCCAACCTATATCCATAATCAGATCCTCTTCAAATGTGTCCTAAAATGTCCGTTTCATGTGAATGGTTACTTCAGGCTAGCAGGGCAGCGGAGCTAGCCACGGGCTAGCCTGTCTGCATAATAGATCCATGGCACAGACACAAGAATTGACAGGCGCCTGCTGAAAGCCCGTTGTACTCGCTGAATAATGTTAGGAGCCGTTTAATAAAATTGTAAAATGGTCTATGCTTGTTATAATGTACTTTTGAACAAGAAAAGTCACGGAGCTCAGTTATTGCGCCAGTATAATCGGTCCGTCTGAAACATATCCTCCAGTGAGGAACGTTCCGAGGTGGAGAAGAAAACACATGCGATTAAAATGCGTAAATTTTTTAACGCACTAATTTTTGTGGCGTTAATTAATCATAATTAACGCGTTAAAGTCCCGGCCCTAGTATATATATATCAAAGCGGATGTGTGTGGGAAAAGGTCGTTAGGCCCCCCTTAAAGCTTGGGTACCTAGCTTTAAATCCGCAAAAGAGTCTAGCCAATAAAATCCATAAAACTATAGTTCCTGGC